GTCATGGCTGTTTCTCAGGCAGACTCTTCACAATCTATCCACTTCCTAACACAGAGGGCAACTCCTCCTCCCCTCCTTCCTCGCCTATCCCTTCTGAACAGTTTGTAGCCATCAACAGCCACACTCCAGTCATGGGAATCATCCCACCAGGTTTCCGTGATGGCAGCTACGTCATAGTTTCCTTCTAGCACGGTGGCCTCCAGCTCCTCCTGTTTGTTACCCATACTGTGTGCATTAGTGTAAATGCACCGCAGCTGGGCCACCTTTTGGGCGGGAGAAGCCCTAGTACCGTCTTGACCATACTCGGGTGTTTCCGTAGTAACTAACCTCTCACCAACCCTTGTGTTCTTCCTGCAAAATGTCATCCTCATCCTTCACCAAGACACAAGACTGCAAGGTTTTGCTAGCATCACATCAGGTTTGAAAGGAACAACTAGTGAGATTAAAAGAGATCAAGAACATCGATGAACGGTTGTCCAAGGCATTGGCTGTCTTCAATCACTTATGTTTGACTAGGGACCAAGAAGACCCTCCTGCAAGTATTCATTTTCAAACAATAAATATAGCAGCACCAAATGTGTTACCACAAATAAGAATGAATTACCGAGATCCTGCTACAGGAACTTGGAAAGGGCCATACCGGTACAGAAATACAAATAACACCTGTGATTACAATGACACTGCTAGGCAGGGTTTAGGGGTTTATGGCACGGAGACAAGGGGTAACAACTGTAGTGTTTGGAACAATTATACAGCTATGGCCTTACCTCCTGATGTTTTTTCTGATTTGCAGGGATAGGGCTTGGCAAGGTATCCCTACAAATGCTATCGGAGGTCCATGTTGCTTAGATAAACTCATTATATTTGCTCCTAGCTTGTCGCAGTTGCGTGAGATCACCAGACATAAAAGAGCATTGCTCGCACCGGATTGCAATGATAATGTTGAATTGCTTGGTGTTGCAGCTAGAGAGGCATTGGCAATTTTAGTGCCGAAGTGGCCTCTGCGGCCACACTTAATAACTTAGAAAAATTGTTATGCTGCGCCAAGAAGCAAGCCCATGCCGCGACAGAGATACTTGAGGAGGTGTTACCAGATCAAAACAGTCTGCAACATGTGCTTTTACAGGATCAAGCTGCTATTGACTTCTTGCTTTTGGCTCAAAGGCATGGGTGTGAGGACTTTGATGGAATGTGCTGTTTAAACCTTTTTGATCATAATGAATCAATTCACAAATCCATTATTTTCCTGAAAGAGCACATGAGAAAGATTCAGTATGGTATCAATCCTTTCAATCAATGGTTCACTGATTTGTTTGAAACGATGCATAGGTGGTTACTGAGATTAGTCAAAGAGGGATTAAGGATTCTGTTTGTTGTGGTGTTAATCATCATTACGTGTTGTATTGTAATAAATGTGGTTAAAGGGTTACTTGCAAAACTGTTACATCAGGCTTGGTTTGCTCAAAGAAAAAGAAAAAAAAAAAGAAAAAAAAAAAGGGGGGGGGGTATTGTTGAAGGATTTTTTGAAACAGCAAAAATCCCATGGCTTGCTGCAGCTGAGCAAACCAAGCTACCAGGGCAACTATGAGAAGTTCCCATGACAGTGTTCCCACATCGCCCAATTGAGGAATTTAGAAAAACATTGTTACCAGATCTGGCTTCAAGGACAAGGTCCACCTGACTGCTAATCACAAGGGGCTTGTTTTCTTGCAGGTGGGGTTGTTTTCTTGTAGTTGTTTGTCTGAGTGCTTTTGACCAATAATCTTGTGTGAGACACGATCCGCCCCTGCTAAGTTCACTATAAAAGTTAGGCTATTCGGGCAATAGAATGGAGCATGTTCTGACCATACTGGTGTGTTGTGCTTTCGGTCGTGCTTCCTGCGACATGCTAGAACATTCCTCGCCCACGAGAACTGGCATGGTACATTCAGCCTCACAGGAGGAGCGTTGCCAGTTGCTATGTGTATATAACGGTTGGACGTGATGATCTTTGAGGTGCTTTCCAACCTAAACGATTCCATGGTTCTATAATTCTATGACTGTGAGAGGCCCAGGGCGCCAGGTTGGCATGGCCTGCACCACTCTTTCTCCTGAGATCAACGACACAGAGAGGAGCACTGGGGGCAAAACTCTGCCTGAGCTTTTATTCACAGCAAAATTCTCAGCCGCAGCTGAGCTGAGGCTGGGGGGGGCAGGGTGTGGTGGGGCATCTGAATTCCTGGGGCACTGTCCTGTTCCTATCAGTGATGTCAGCGTACAGCTCCGAGCGCCCTCCTGGTGCTGGCAGCTGGGCGCTGCTACTCCCACTCTTCTGCGATGAAGCTGCAGCACAAAGCACTGCGCAGAGCCCGAAGCGCCTGTCTCCTGATGTGGGCGGGCCGTGGCTGGTGTGCCGGGGCTTGTGTGAGGTCATGGATGCCTGTGGGAGACAGAGAGGTGTAGGTTAGGGCCTGAGCGGGTGATGGGCAAGCCCCTGCCTTCCCCCCACCACCACCCAAGGGGAGGGGTGGCCCAGGACCAGCCAGTCCCCCTGCGTTCCTAGCCCTTGCTCCTGCTCGCTGCTCTGAACAGGCCCATCCAAAAGTCCCTGGGACGGCTCTTGTTTCTGGCACGTTGCTGGCTCGTCTGCTGGTGTATCTTTGGTGCAGGAGGACTGTGCTTGTATATATTGGTCAAGGCTGCGTGTGTTTAAGAACTGTCCTCCTGTCTCTTCTCCAGATGTTTCCTCACCCGCACACTCCGCACTAAAGGCAGCTGCAGCAACGGAGAAGAAACCTCTCGGGTGGGCTCTGAAGATCGCCACCTCTGCCTGTCCCAAGAGCCCGGAGCACAGCCTCCTTCCAAAACGCAGGAGATCAGAAGATCCTCTGCAGTCTTCCCAGGGATGCCCACAGCTCTTCTCTTGGTCCTGTCACTTGGTCATTCATCTGAGATTTCAGCAGCTGGACGTTGTTACTTAGGCTGTGAACAAAGTCTGTGGAAAATTGCCTTTGGACTCTGCTCTTGCGGAAGACCAGACGGCCAATGTCCTTGAAGATGAAGTCCACACCCTGCTTCTTTGCACGGGTGTAGGAGAGAAAGAGCAGGTCTCCTGAATGCAGCACTGCATGGTGTCCCTAGGAATGCTGGTGTGCAAGAACAGCCAGGCATAATTCAGGACAGCAGCTGGAGGTACACCTGAGGGAAAAGAAGCAAGGAGCAAAGGAACTAAGACAGGCCTGCAGAGGAGGGCAGTCCCGTTTGGGCAGCGGCTGGACCCTCCAGCACTGTGCCCTGCTGCTGCTCTGCACCTGCAGCTGCGCCAGCTGCCAAGAGGAGAAGTCAACCACCAACGCAGCCATCAGGGTGCCAACAGCACGGAGAGGGACGTTTCCAGGAGCCGCTACCGGCCAGAAGGTGCTAGGCGTTGCTGGGATGTAGTGGGATACTGCATCCCAAACTTTCACAATCCCTGAAAAGCAAGGGAAAGAGAGGTCATGCTGCAAGCCAGCCTGCTCCTGCAGCACAGCCCTGGTGGCCGTGTGGACTGGTGCCCATGTCCCGAGACCCTCCCTCTCTCTCCCCACAAGAAACTGTGGCTCGAGAGGGCTGTGCGGGTGCTTTTTCTTGAGGCAACTCCTGTCGGGCTCACCATCATCTGGGAGGTGCATGAGAGTTGGGAACATGAGGTGGCTGCTGCACAGGATGGCAGCACTCCTGGCCTCCATCTCTCTCTGTCCCTTCTCCACCCGTAGGAGCGGAGGCTTCCCCTAGCCCAGCAAAATTGTCATGGCCCCTGCAAACACTGTCCCGATGGGCTTCTCGTGCTCCCAGCCAGAAATGGGAAAGAACAGAGGAGACAGCTGCCAGCTCTTCTCTTCCCGTTTCTCACAGCTCATATGCAGCACGGCTGAGGCTGGTTACCACTGTCTTTATTCAGTAATATTTAGCTTGTACATGCCAGCACCTTTCACATTCGTTCCATATGCAAGTCTTCTCACTCAGCCTAAGGAAGGGAAGAGAAAGGAGGAAGGTTCTAGGTTGATGGAGACATACTCACAAATACTTGCCTTTTTCAGCAAGACACCCCAAAACTGAGGTTTCCTTAGACCTGTCCTCATCTCATGAACTCAGCCCCGAACACTGCTGCCATCTCCTGTCAGTTAACCCCAATAGGTTATAAAATGAGCCCCACAGCTGCTCGCTCACTCCCCTGCAGTGGGGTGAGTAAGAGAATCAGATGGGTCAAAGTGAGAAAAGCTGCAGGTTAATGGGACGACATTTTTATAGGTAGAGCAAAAGCTGGACCTGCAAGCACTGCCAGGAGCCAGCTCTCACACTGCCTGCTCTTAGTGTCTTTCTCCATCCTCACTACTACTCCCTTGTTCATTTTCTCTATGTCCCCCGGGCTGTCTGAGGAGCTGTTCATCTCCAACCCCTCCAGATTCTATGTGGTCAGTCAGGGGCCACAGAAGCAAGCATACTCACTTGGGAAAGATAACTATGCTACCAGAGCTCATCTGTGAGAGGGCCAGATGTGGCTGAACGCATCATCCCTCGCCTCTGCAAGAGAAGCAGCCCTGGGTGAGATCCCATCCAGGACAGGATCCCCTTCACAGCAAAATCAGCTAACCTTCAGGCTGCTCAGGCAAAAAAAAACAAACCTTCCTCCCTTCCTTAGAAACAACAGAAGCTGCTCGGCTAGCATGCACACCCAGGTATAACATTGCCTGACTTTGTGCGTAGGTGAGACTCAACTGCCTCAGACAGGAGATAAGTCACACCCACCACAAGTCCTTCTGGATGGCCTCGGGACTTCCCAAGAACCCTGAGCAGTGTTGAAGCCCTCAGAAACTTACACTGAGACAGGTTTCCAGAGAACCACACAGCCAGTGGCCTTAAAGCTGAAGTCATGATCCTGCTGCTCTGCCATGGTGTGCTGAGGAACGCAGTCGGTGGAAAACTGCATTTGGACTCAGCCCTTGTGGAACACCAGATGGCCAATGTCCTTGAAGACGAAATCAACAGCCTGCTTCTTTCTAAGGGTGCAAGAGAGAAAGAGCAGGGTCTCTTGAATGCGGCGCTGCACCGTGTCCCGAGGAATGCCGGTGTCCAAGAACAGACAGGCATAATTCAGGAAAAGAAAACGGGATACACCTAACGGAAAAGAAGCAAGGAGCAAAGTAACTACACAGGCCTGCACAGGAGGGCAGTCACCTCTGGGCCTCTGCTGGACCCTCCAGCATTGCTACAGAGCTGTCTTGCTGACTGCTTGTCTGGAGGAAGAGAATCTCTGAAAGACAGAGCTCCAAACGCCTGGGGCAGCGCAAAGCAAGAGGACTTTCACTAAGTATTGCAATCAATGGTGGCCACTATATAAGCTAAATGGCCACTTTACGGATCAATCGACTATAACACTATCTTGCAATTAATGTTTTTGAGGAGAGAAGGAAAATGGGATGAGATGTTGTATATTGATATGTTGTGTCAGTATCTTGGAGGGAAAAGGTATGGAATTAAGTTGGCCCCTGACTGAGCTTTTGGTGCTGGCATTAGAAAAGTACAGGCTGGAGAAAGATACAGGAAGTGCTAAAAGGGTTGTTGAAGGTGTTAAAGGTGTGGCATGTAGTATTTGACAAAGCTGTTTGAAGTCCAATGAGCGGGGAAAGAGGATGTAGGAATGTTAATAGGTCTGCCTCAGCCCGAGGCTGAGATCTCAAAATCACGGGTGTGAGCCCTCTGGGGCAGAGGGACCCTGATGGGTCCCAGAGAGTTGACATGGAAACAGAAAAGCAGCTAACTCTTAAAACAACCTGAGTTCATGTGTGAGCTCAGATTGCTAATGGGACTGAACTTTCAAAGAGAAAAATAATAATATAAAAAAAAAAAAACTGGACCTGGCTTCAGAAAACAAACAGAGGCAATTGGTTAGCCTCTTTCCAGGGCAATCAGCCCCTGATTTCGGAAAGAAATTGTCTTAGTTTGCAGGATAAACTTACAACAGTCAGGAATGATGGGGACCTGGGGCATCTACCCTGGCAGGTCCACTGATTGAAATAAAGCTAGGGAATGAAGAAGTGAAGCTTGAATTTTTTGTTGGTTACGGGCGCTTCTTTCTCTGTGTTAATTAGTCCGTAAATGTAATAGGAGCAACTGGCCAACAGGAAAAGGCATTTTTTGCAATGCTTGAAATTTAAAATGGGAAAAAGGATGGGAATTACAAAATGAGAAAAACAGTCAAGTTTGGTTCATGGTACTAGATTTAAAGGATGCCCTTTTCTGCCTGCCCGTGGCAACTGAAAACCAGAAACTCTTTGCCTTTGAGTGGGAAAATAATAATAGAGGATGGAAAACTCAGCTTACTTGGTCAGTGTTACCACAGGGGTTCAAGAATAGCCCCACCATATTCGGGAACTGTGATCTTGAAGCTTGAAAGACCCCTTCGGGAAAAGGGGACATTGTTGCAATGTGCAAATGATAGCTACTGAAGAAGAAAAGGAATGTGTATAATGGACTGTTAGTTCGCTACATTTTTTCGGCACTAATACTGTGAACCCAGCCTCTTTCCTCAGTAACAGAGTTTCCAGATCACCCATTCATGATTGCATCAAGACCATGGACACGTATCCTCCAGCTGACCAGACTTAAAAGAAATACCCCTAGAAGATGTGGAGGATTGGTAGATAGATGGCAGCAGCTTCGTCCGCCAGGGATTTTGCCTCACAGGATATACGGTAACAAACATCAGCCCAAAAGGCTGAAATCAGCACCTTGATAAGAGCTTTTGAGCTGGCAAACATTTGGACAGATTTGAAATATGCCTTTGGTGTGGTGCATGCACACAGGGCAATTTGGAAGGAGAGGACTTTCATCTTCTTTTATCTTCCTCAATTAAACATGCAGAAGATGCTGATAGCAGTTACTAGAGAAGAAGGAAAAAGGAGGCCCAGACAGGAACAGCCCCGACTAGGCAAGGAGCAATGCGCCCCGTGTAAGAAATTTGGGCATTGGAAAAAGGAAAGCCAGAACGGAAAAGAAATGGAAAAGGGAACCGGAGAAGGGAGGTGGTGGTCGCACATGCAAAAGACGACTAAAGAGGACTGGGGGAATCTACCCCAGCAGATCTGTTGGTTACAAAAATGAAGATGGGGAAAGAGGGAAAAGAGGTGGAACTTATGGTGGATGCGGGGGCAACATACTCGGTTTTAAAGAAAGCATTAGTATCAGTGGGGAATTATTGCATTGTAGTGAAGGGGGCAACTGGCCAATCTGAAATAGCATATTTCTGCAAGCCATTGAAATGTAAATATGGGAAACAGTGGGGCATTCACAAGTTCCTATGCATGCCCAGCTCCCCGGAGTAACTCCTAGGGAGAGATTTATTGTAAAGATTACAAGCAACCATTTCATTTAAAAATGGGGAGATTATTCTGGAGGTAAATGATCAAAGATACGTGGAAGTGTTGAGTTTGATATTGACAGCTATTGAGACCAAAGAGGAAATTAGTGAGGAAATCCTAAGTCAAGTGTTTTCTTGAGTATGATCTTCTAAGGTAACACGGAAGGCAAAAAATGCACTTAAACAGTGTCCCTTGAAAAAGGAAGACAGAGAAGGAATTAGCCTGATAATTGATTAACATGCTTAACACCAGAGCTAACTTGGTTTACCGTTTTAGACCTGAAGGATGCCTTGTTTTGCCTCCCTCTCCATGAAGCCTGTCAGAAAATCTTTGCATTTGATTGGAAAAGCCCTAAGAGTGGGCACAAAACACAGCTCACGTGGACGAGGTTACCTCAGGGCTTTAAGAACTCACCCACCTTATTCGGAGAACAACTTGCAAAGGACTTGGAGACCTGGAAAGCCCCATCAGGAGAAGGAAGGCTGTTGCAGTACGTAGATGAGCTCCTTATAGCCACCCAGACAGAGGAAGCATGTGTGGCCTGGATGGTAAGCCTCCTAAACTTTCTGGGACTACAGGGGTACAGGGTATCGAAGAAGAAGGCTCAGGTGGTAAAGCAGAAGGTGACCTACCTGGGTTATGAGGTTAATGCCAGACAACGGACCCTGGGGCATGATTGTAAAGAAGCGATACGTCAAACCCTGAAACCCGAGACTATAAAAGAACTGTGAACCTTTTTGGGAATGACGGGGTGGTGCAGATTGTGGATCTATAATTACGGATTGCTTGTAAAAGCACTCTATGTGCTCATTGCAAACGGGAACAGGGACCTCCAATGGAGAAAGGAGGCCACGCGAGCCTTTGACCAACTGAAGAAGGCTCTCATGTCAGCCCCAGCTCTGGGACTTCCAGATGTGAATAAACCATTTTTCCTCTTCTCCCATGAGAAACAGGGGATTGCCCTGGGAATACTAGCACAGGACCTGGGCCCATAGCGAAGGGCAGTTGCTTATTTTTCGAAGCAGCTGGATGCTGCTGCCAAGGGATGGCTGGGATGCCTCAGAGCCGTTGCAGCAGTGGTGCAAAATATCCAGGAAGCACACAAGTTCACCTTGGGACAGAAAATTACTGTGCTAGTGTCTCACACAGTGTCCACAGTGCTGGAAGTGAAAGGTGGTCACTGGCTTTCCCCACAAAGGTTCCTGAAATCAGCAGAAACCAAGGGGAGCCAGTACACCATGACTGCCTGGAGACCATTGAAGCTACCTACTCCAGCCGTCCAGATCTGAAGGACACTCCTTCTGATGAGGTGGAAATATGGGAGCAGCTACGTCATCAGCGGAAAACAACACGCTGGGTATGCAGTTAACACTTGCAAAGACGTAATAGAAGCTGGACTAAATAATGAGATTATTGGAAGCAGATCAGCTGCCTGAAAAGGTAGCAATCATGCACATTAAGGCACACCAGACGGTGAGCTCAGAATTGGAGGAAGGAAATGATCTGGCGGACAGAGAGGCAAAAGAAGCAGCAGAAGGTGAGGTAGCAACTGAGGGAGCCCTGATTCCAGACAGGCAAATTCCCCTTGAAGGTAAGCTTGTATATAACAAAAAGGATAGAAAATTAATTGAAAGTCAGAAGGGAAAATATAACCAAGAGGGATGGGCTATTACCAAAGAAGGGAAGGGAAGCTAGTCATCGCCTCCAATTTATTGTGGTCACTGGTAAAGAAAGAACACTGGAAAACACATTGGGGAATAGACGCTTTGTATAGCTATCTAATTGGAAAAAATATTGCCAGGAACTAATATGCTACCATCACTCAAATAGCTTAATATTGTGATCTTTGTCTCCAGACTAACCCCCAAAATGCCCCCAAACCAAAACTATGTCAAATTGGAAAAGGCCATGGGCCTGGGCAACAGTGGCAAATTGACTTTTTTTGAACTTCCAAGAAAAGGGGGGTGTCGATATTTACTGGTGTTAACAGATACCTTTTCAGGATGGCCAGAAGCTTTCCCCAGTAGGACTGCCAAAGCCTGAGAGGTAGCTAAGTCTCTTGTAGAGAAAACTTTGAAACCACAGTGGGAAGGACTATACCAGGTGCTCCTTAAAACCTTCACTGCAGTTAAGATCAGGGAACAGAGTGCCTGGATTCACCGTTCTCAAGTGAAGAAAGCTCCAGAACCCCCTGGAAAGTAACGCCAGGTGACGGTGAACTGAAACTAAAGCTCAGTCGAGCAAAATGAGGACATCACGGTCAGGAGTATTTAGTAATATGGTTAGCAGGAATTTAGTTAACAGAATTGTTTTATTTCTATGGCTTATAAGTTGTAACTGTGATTCAAGAAGATGCCTCTATGATAATAGAGAATGGTGAGCGGCCTTGGTCTGAAGCTGTAACAACAGAGGATAAGAGCATTAACGGAAAGTTAGCAGTTGTGGTTATTTGGCGAACAAATGATGACCATTTAGATACATTATAAGAATGGCAAAAATTAGGGCAAGAATGGACACACCAAAGAACCGTAGGGGACGAAATTAAAATAGGGTGCCGAATGATTAATGGAATGACCCACGAGAAAGTAACGGGGATTTTTGTAAAACCTATTTCCAAAAGTGGCCAACAAGAAGGTTGTATCCACCCAGGTAAATCAGATTGGTGGTATAATTTTGTATTTACACAGACTGTAGTAATTAGCTGGTTTTGGCTGTACTTCCTACAACAGTGGGACAAAACTAAAACAGCCCCTACAATCATCCTTATTGGCATTGGGAACTAGCCAATGGCAAATTTCACAGGTGTTACCGAGATGGGAAAAGGCTGAAGACCAAGACCACAAACTAAGAACAGATGCACTTAGTATGGTTCAAGATAATGTATCTTTCGCTCTTAGCTGTATACAAGCACAGTTATGGATGCAGGCAACGGCTGCCTTGATCATTAGGGAAGGAAGTGAAGGCATTTTTCTGGCTGAAGTCCAAAAGGCTGTTTGGGACAATGCCAATGATTTTGAGAAGAAGTTCCAATCTTGGTGGACTCTGGTAAATTTTACCTATGATCCCATTGTTAACATGGCTACTGCCTTTGTGCCTACTATAAGTAATGCCACAGTTTATGTTATCCACCCCATCCTTGCACTAGGATTAAACCATGAGGAGACAGTGCTGTATCCTTCGGAGCATAGAACATGGGCATGGATGGAGAATGGGAAATGGCAGTCTGTAAGTCTAGAATCATGTGTTACCTGGGAACAACAAGGATTTATTTGTGAAAGCAACACAATTGATGCTCAGGATGTATGTCTTGACACGCAACAAGGCGTTTGCCACTTTGAAATTCATCCAAATAGTAGTCAAAAGACTGTGCTTGTATATATTGGTCAAGGCTGCGTGTGCTTTTGTACAAGTAGATAAGGAAGACGTGACTCTCCCTAGCAAAAATCATTCTAACTTTTCTAACTTTGTTAGAATTGTCAGGTGTGATTTTCTATATTTGGCACCAGTGGTATCCCACCAGTTGATCAAGTCTAACAACACAATCTATCACAAGTTATTACCTACACCTGCTGGGGTGAACCTCACGTTAGTGAAGCAACTAGTTAAAACACCAAGACCTGATCAAAATTTTTTTTTAAAAGAAAGCATTCAGGAAAATGGAAAGAAGACTCTAATCACTGTCCATCATGATACAAAGGAAATAAGCAGAGATTTGCAAAGAGTAAAACAAGACAAATCACAACTGGTGGGACACACTCTTAGGATGGTCGCCAACTGCAACTGGGATTTTGAACACATTGTGTCACCCGGTTGTTGTTTTACTGATATTAGTTGGTATAAGTTTAATATTGTCTTTTGTAATACTTTTGGAATTGGAAATGGTTACAATGAATGGCCATACTAGCTTCCTTGACAAAGGTACATGGCAAGGTATTGAGGGGTACATACCGTAGAGACTGGAAAGAAGAATTTTTGTATTAAGTAAAAGAATTTACTAGATTTTCCAGAAAAGGGGGACTGAAACATGGGATTAGAAATTAGAGAGTGATTGATTAAGAATGAATATGTAGGCAACACTCATTGCCTAATATGTGCTACATTTGCGATGTGCCTGTGCTGCGCTTAGCCCTCCAGATAACAGGAGCCCCTGGGACTCCAAGAACCAGATCAAACCAACCTTATGGTTTGGACTGTGACCAAGGGCTCAGAGATAAGGAGCACTGTTCTTAAAAGGACAAGATAAAAAATGTCAAACATGCAAGGCCTCCAGATAACAGGAGCCCCTCAGGCCCGGAGAACTGGACCAAACCAACCTTATGGCCCAGATTATGACCAAGGCCTCAGAGAGCATGCGCAAGGAGACGAGGTGAAAAGTTCAACCCTGATGAAGACATCTCACTTCATCCTCACGACCCTCAGTGCCCACCACCAGAAGGCACCGCGCAAGCGCAGAGGGGAGGAGCTTATGGAAATGACTTCTTGGAACTAATTTTAATACTAAGCGGGGACAGGTTATGAATATGTATAGGCATACTGCGAAACCTCATGCATATGTAAATCTCTACTGCATATAACCAAAGCAAGTTGCCGTGTTAGGGGCGCACGACTTTGGTGGGACTACCCCCCGTGCCGCCCAGTGCTGCATAAACATACCTACTTTACAATCTTACTGATTGTGAGGTCAGCTTTACAAGAGTCAATCTTACCTGTTCTGGTAGACTCTCCCTCCACACTTGCGTCTCCCTTCTTTCCCAAAGCAAACCCTTGGGTGCTTGGAGAGGCTCTTCTCCCTGCAGCTCTTCCCCGAGGTATGTAGAGCCCAATCCTGGAAGAAAGACCAAGGCAGTGTGACTCCAGAGCACCACATTCTAGGGCTGTAGGGTGCTGGTCTTGGTGCCAGCGTCTGAGAGGGGCTTGCTGTGGGCTGGGCAGGCAATAGACATTCCCCCAGCCCTAGCTACACAAAGAGAATGCCCCCTCGTCCAAAACAAGCAAGAATCGGTGTGGAGTGGAGGAGGAAACAGTGCTTGGAGAAGTCTCCCTCCAGCTCCTCCCTGAGCACTGGGCAAGCCCTGGCACTGCTGACCTTCCGGAGAGGAGCTGAAAAGCTGCCAAAACTCTCAGCCGAGGGCTGCAGAAGCAACGCGCCCACGTGGAAAAGATGAGGACACCCCCAGAAGCTGGATGTGGGACTATGCTTTTTCTCTCCCATGTGGCCAAATCTGTTGTGCCTAGCCTCTGCAGGAGAGACAGTCCTGGCTGAGACCATGGCCAGGAAGGGATGCCCTTTCCAACGGAGGCATTGCGGCTGCTCAGGCAGAAAGCTGCCCACGGGCACAGCTTGCAGGGCTTAGTGTTCACCCCTCCTTACAAGCAGCACAAGCTGCGCAGCGAGTGCCTGCACCTGGTAAATCACTGCATGGCTTTGTCAGGCGCAAGGCTCCTGTGCCTCATCAGGAGACGCGTCTGACCCAGAAGGACAAGGCCCTCCCAATGCAGCACTGCAATGTGCCCTTGTGTCCAAGGACAGCCAGGCATAATTCAGGAAAACAAATCGAATTACACCTTACGGAAAAGAAGCAAGGAGCAAAGTAACTACACAGGCCTGCAGAGGAGGGCAGTCACATTTGCATAGCTGCTGGGCCCTCCAGCACTGATGCCCTGCTGCTGCTCTGCACCTGCAGCTGTGCCAGATGCCAAGAGGAGAAGCCAACCACCAACGCAGCCATCAGGGTGCCAACAGCATGGAGAGGGACATTTCCGGCAGCTGCTGCCTGCCAGAAGGTGCAAAGCATTGGCAGGTTTTGGCTTCTGAGGTACTCAGGCCTTTCTCTGGACCTCCTGGAGGAGCTGTGGAACCCCTCCACTGCCTTCCCAGCAGCAGCTGAGCATGCAGCCCACATCCTTGCACATTGGAGCCCGACATTCATCTCTCTTCTTATCTGGAAAAGTTTCTTTCTTGTAAGGGAGCCCGTGAATACTGGGAAAGGTCTCTGAAACATCGAAGATGGGCTTCTTTACATCAAGGAGCTCAAAGCCCACCATGGGGAGCTCCTCTTTAATCATGAAGAAGGCACTGAAGAAGGCACAATAACTGTCAAAATGTCACATCTCCAGAAACATTTCCCTTCTAACAACTCAGGTAGGCGGACCACCGTGGCTACCTAACAGAGGAGGATTTGCGGCGAGAGATTTTGCTCACCTGCTGGGTGCCCAGGCAGGAACCTGCCGTCAGTGGGACATGTGTCAGGCCCATTGTGGAGTTCAACAAGTCCCTGCGTGCAAGGAAAGCTTCTCGATGACTCAAGGGGAAGAGCTCTGGGGCTGCCTTCTATGGCTTTCCCCCAGCCTCATTTGGGAGAAGGCTCTTTTTCCCCAGCAGCCTGGCCCAGCTGTGCCTTCCCTGTCGCCCTGGAGAGTCTGGCTGGAGAGCGACTCTGGGGTGTGAGCAGCCGGCTCTTAATAGCAGGAGGCATCCCTGTAAGGAGGAAAAGAGAAGGCTAGTCAGAGCTGCTCCTTGGTGGCCACAAAATTTCTTCACACAGAGGGTGGTGAGGCACTGGAACAGCTTGCCCAGAGAAGCCGTGGATGCCCCATCCCTGGAGGTCTTCAAGACCTGTTTGGATGAGGCACTGGGCTACTTGCTCTAGTGAATGGCATCCCTGCTCATGGCAGGGGGCGGGAGGGAATAGAAGATCTTTAACATCAATTGCAACCCAAGCCATTCTGTGATTCTCTGGAAAGGTTCAAGATTCCGCTCCAGTGAGGAGAGCTGAGTGACTCCCTGCTCCCTTCAGGGAGAAGGGTGCCAGTGAGAGCCCAGCCTGCTGCAGCTCATCTTTCCCATTGCCTTTGTGGGAGCTCGCCCACACTTGCTTGGCATTGATTTCCTCACAGGATCTGCCTCAGTGTTCTCCTCTGGGGGGTGAGGGATGAGGACATGCTGCTGCTTCATAGGCACTGCTGCCATCTGCAGAGACTTCGATTTCAGGTCCACAAGTGCGTTCTGTGGGGTGGCAGCTCTGGGAAAGAGCAGAGGAAGAGGGCAGCATGAGGCTGCAAAGCCCACCTTGTTCAGCGCGAACTGCCTGCGGATGAAGTGGGATACTGCATCCCAAATTCTCCCCGTCCTTGCAAATCAAACCCACAATATCCCCTTCAGCCGTGCCCTGGGGATGGCAACAAGGCCGCCAATGCCACGCTGCGGGCTGGCACGGCCCGCTCATCCCAAGTTTGGTTACCAAGTTTGACATGGTTAAAACAATTGTTTACTACGGGCCTGGTTCTGTTATTTTACGGAATATTTGTTTTCCTGATATTACAATGTTTCAAAGGAATATGTGCTTACAAATAGGTATGGAGAGGGGGCCGAGAATAAGTACGAAGTAAAAGACTTTATTGATTTAGAAGAAAAGGGGGCAATTGAGATGGGGAAGATGTTAAAAAAACTATCTGAACTAGTATCTAGCTACATTACATACATGGTAAAGTACCTTAAGTATTGGGGATGTGGATGAGAACCTAAAAATATCCTAATTATAGGGATGTAGATGAGAAGCAGATGTAAAAAGAAGATATCGTTCAAGGCTAACGGATGAGGGAAGAATGAACATCTCGTTAAGAAAGAAGGAACAACTTGTTGGCAGGAAACAAGGCAAAGATAAGCAAAAAAAGGCCTAAACTATCCAACAGAAGGTCCAAGTCCACAAAGGTAAAGAGAGTTTAACCTCCTCTTCCTCGTTGCCTTCATCCTGAAAGACCCCTGCCCACGACCACCGGGCTACATTGCTGATACATTGCTGCTACTCCCACTCTTCTGGGATGAAGCTGCAGCACAAAGCCCTGCGCAGAGCCCGCAGAGCTCTCCTGACGTGGGCGGGCTGTGGCTGGCGTGCCGGGGCTTGTGCGAGGTCATGGATGCCTGTGGGAGACAGAGAGGTGTAGGTTAGGGCCTGAGCGGGTGATGGGCAAGCCCCTGCCTTCCCCCGCACCAGCACCCAAGGGGAGGGGTGGCCCAGGACCAGCCAGCCCCCTGCGTTTTCCTAGCCCTTGCTCCTGCTCGCTGCTCTGAACAGGCCCATCCAAAAGTCCCTGGGACGGCTCTTGTTTCTGGCACGTTGCTGGCTTGTCTGCTGGTGTATCTTTGGTGCAGGAAGACTGCGCTTGGCCTCTCTGCTCGGCAGCAACCTGCATGGGGAGAGCAAGAGCACAGGTAGGTGATGGAAGGGATGTCAGCCCTTGTGCCTGGGGCGTTTGGGAATGGAGAGCAGCAGGCAGCTCCCCAGCACGCACACCCCACGCACTGCTTCTGCCTCGGGCTGCCCTCGGTGCCTGGAGACCACCACACGCGCTGGGCTTACCTGGTGCCCAGGAACCGTAGCCAAGGGAGAAGCCACTGCTCCGGTTTCGTCAACTGCTGTACAGTCAACAGGCTCCTGGGATGGGAGGAGGCACCCTGGCCCATGTGGCCAAGGGAGCAGTTGGATCCTTGCTCGTGGCTCCCTGCATGATGGCTACAGAATGGAGTAGCACTGCAGCAACAACAATCTCGGCTGTTTTCATCCAGCTCTCCTCAGAGACACTGGAGGCATGTCGTGCACGTCACTGGCTCTCAACCAGCACCGCAGTGCTGTGCTCACTGGGCTGGGACATGCTGATGGCTTTGACTCTTGACCTCCAGGTGTCTGGGGAGGCGCTCTGTACCCCTCATCTGCAGCCTCCCTGTCCACGCTGCTGGATGAGCTGCCTTCTTCCTGGGGAAAACCCTGTGGTTCCTGGAAGAGTCAAAGCATTGGTGGGCCCTGGCTTGAGAGGAGCTCAGGCCTTTCTCTGGACCTCCTGGAGGAGCTGTGGAACCCCTCCACTGCCCTCCCAGCAGCAGCTGAGCATGCAGCCCAAAGTCCCCGCGCGTGGGAGCCCAGACAATCATCTCTCTTCTTACCAGGAAAAGTTTCTTTCTTGTAAGGGAGCCCATGAACATTGGCAAAGTGCTCCGAAACCTGGAGACGGCTTCTTTGCGTCAAGGAGCTTAACGCCTGCCATGGGCTGCTCCTGTTTAAACAGCAAAGAAGGTGCCCAGCCCAGGTACTGTGACACCCTGAAAAGCAAGAAATCAGGAACACGGGTCAGTATTTCTGGGGCTTCTCCAAGCAAGAAGATGGGCCCTCATGCCTTGGCCACTGCTCATGAGAAGGTGCCAGGCAGTGTCACTCTGCAGAGCCCTGGAGATGGCCTTGATGTCACGGATTTTCCCAGTTCCCTCCTTTTTTCCCTCTAAAGTGACGCTGGGCTAGTAAGAGCACAGCCAACCCCTCAGCTCAATAAAAATCCCCCAAAGAGTTCCCTCCAACCAGTTCCCAACAAGTAGGGAAAGCCTTGAGTGCCAGCACCAGCGACATGCTGGCCTGCCCACTCTGGCCACGGACAACACAACAAGCACCAGGCAGAATGGACCCGTCCTTCTGCTGGAGCTGGCTCTTCTTTTGTGCATACTGCCAGAGCAGCAAGGGGCAGATCCCAGGCTGCCAAGCCCAACGAGCCGCCGCCAAGCAGGCACCAGAGGCTGCAGGAAGGTTCCAGAAGCAGCGGCAGCAGCCCGCGCAGGGGCAGCCGCGAGTGCAGGAGCTGCTCATGGGCTGTGGGCTCAGCGGCAGACGCCTGCCCCTGCAGGGGACGAGGCCCACCCAGAGCCTGCCCAGCGGCATGGGCCTTGCCCAGACATCCTGGGGGGAAGCCCTGGCCGCAACAAGTGAGCGGGGGGGGATGCAGAAGCCCCTCACAAATGCTGACGAAAAACAGGGGCCCACAAAGTGAGAGGCCATGTCACTTACCATGACAGCCCCGGAATGCGGAGAAAAGTGGCACTGCTCGCTCCAGACAGCACAAAGTTTCCTTCAGCACAAAAAGAAGAAAGGCCTCTTGGCTCTAGATGCCGCCCGACACCACTGGCAGCCGTGCTGGGGACAGCCCAAGGCCTCAGCCAGCTTGTGGCGCGGGGGGCAGGCAGAACTGCCAAATGGCCGCCAGGGCTGTCAGAGGGCGGGGCTGGAGCCGCCCTGTCAGGGAGCAGCTTTCTCTCTCTCTCCCTGCACTCAGGGAGCACTTTCCTGTAGATCCCCTTTCCTGTAGGGCCACAGCTGAGCCGAGCATGCCAGCACTGAGAAGGAACCTCTCTCCTTTCAGTCCCATACAATCCTCGAGAGTGCCCCAGGGGGTGTGCAAGGTGATCCATTTGGGTGTGGGAAGGAAATGCTAGAACTGCCATTCGTTTATTCATGAATCTCGAAAGGGAATAAGGAAGAAGGAATGCTTCACGAGTGTTTAATATAGAGCTTGTGCCTGGCACCCTCCCTCAGTGTCTCCATGTGTCAGATGGCCACGTTGCACATGGTCTGTGAGGTGTCCTGAGGGACGAGCGTGTGCTCCACAACACGGAGGTTTTCTCCGTGGCACCCTCACTCGGTCACAAGCTTTCAGCATTATGTGACGTAGCAGATTACATGGGCCGGGTTCAGTAGACTTCAGGATGATGTGCTTAAAGGGGATTTGAGGAAATCAGTTCAAAGGATGCCTATAGATTGGGATCTCTAAGGCCAAAGGCAGCAATTCAGCAAGAGGTATTCCACCCAAGTGGAATTTACAGCAACTTGCATCGAGGCTGCCTGATGAGGGATCAAAGTCCCCGAAAGTTTTAGGAGGAGAGAATGAAAACTGTGAGAGCATGTGAGAGAAAGAGAGCTCTTCACTCTCTTGTATGAGTGATGTGACAAAAAAAAATCAACTTGTCCTTCAGTTTTTGTGCTGTGCAGATTTAAAGTCCCTGCTGGCTTTCCTTCCTTCTTTTCTCCCAGGTTTCAAACTCTCTCTCTCTCTCTGCTTTTTGGCCATGTGCAGACCCGAGAGGTCATGGAAAAGCTGTTTTCCAAAAAGAGGCTCTTAACTTCAAAGCTCCCTTGGCAGCAGTACCAGCAGGGAAGGAAGACTTGTTGCTAATTCTGGGCTGAGTGAGGAGTGAGGGCAGGTGCTTGATGCCTTTTTTTTTTTATTTCCTGGGACCAAAGGGAAGGTTGCAGTGAGCCGTTACCTTGGAAGTTCCACCCTGGAAGGATCAAGAGCTCCCAGCTCTTCCCAGCTCTCCAGGCACAGGCAGGATCTGATGCTGGATCCTAAGAGCACCTGTCTTTCAGCAAGGAGAATCAGCAGCCTCAGCTAGGAGGCCTTCGTGGCTGTCTTGGCAGGCCACGAGTGGTGCTACTTGAACTGCTTAACAGTCCCACAAAAATTGTGAGGTGGATTATTGAGGGAACAGAGCATCTCTCCTATGAAGAGAGGCTGGGAGAGATGGGACTGTTTAGCCTGGAGAAGAGAAAGCTCAGGGGGGGATCAGTGGATAACTGCATGCCTGCGGGCAGGGTGCAAAGGCAATGGAGCCAGGCTCATTTCAGTGGAGCCCAATGACAGGACAGGAGGCGATGGGCGCAGAAGCAAACACAGTGGCTTCCATCTGAACCTCAGGATCCATTTCTGTAGTGTGTGGGTGAGCGAGTCCTCTCACGGGTTCTCCAGTGAGGCTGTAGAGTCTCCCTCCTCAAGGGGAGACACTTGAAAGCCATCTCCACAGGACATGCTCCTTGGACACTGGTGCTGGGTAGCAATGTTTGAGCAGGGGGTTGGCCAAGCTGACCTCTTCAGGTACCTTCCAACCTCAACCATTCTGTGTTTCTGTGAAATCAGAACACTACAAAGCCCGTCTGGTCCTTCCAGCAGGAAGCAAAAGACTTTATTGGGCTCGCAGCTGCTCCCAGCTGCGAGGGGTCCTCGCTGGTTTCCCTGATGCTCGTGTCATCTTTGGCATTGGAAGCACAGGGATTTTCTCACCAACGCTAGGGAGAGAAAAAGAAAGGGTTCAAGTTTCTGTTCCAGTGAGGGCAGCGGAGTGACACTCCCTGCTCCCTTCAGCCCCAGTCCTGTGCAGCGTGCATATGCAGGAGTCCCAAGGCTCTGTGTGGCCTTGTGGGGGCCCCTCGAGTCCCAGCCAGTGACAGGGAATCTACGCAGCGCCAGGCCGAGGCGCTGTGTGAGACCGGGCTGGAGACCTTTGGCCAAGCAGCTACGGAAGGCCAGGGCAAGGGTTCTCGTGAGCCTGGGGGCCTCATTGCCCAAGGAAGGGGCTGTTGCTAGTGGAATGAAGGCTGTTGCAGGAGAGGTTTACCAAATCAGAAGATCCTCTGCAGAATTTCCAGGGATGTCGACAGCTCTGCTCTTGGTCTTGTCTTTCTGCAGGACCTCCCCTCTCCTCTCCAGCTGTTTCCTCACGCGCTCAGTCCGCACTGAAAGGCAGCTGCAGCAACAGAGAAAAAAACTCTCAGGTGGGCTCTGAAGGTCCTCACCTCTGTCTGCCCAAAAGCAGGGAGCACAGCCTCCTTCCATTGTGGGTGCGTCACTGTCAGCTTGCAGGGGAGCTTTAGGACTTGGGTCTGCAGGGGGACAGCTGGAGGCAGGGCCTCTCCACGGTCATTCTCTCCGCGAGGCAGCCAGGGGATGGAGAGCCAAAGCCCAGAGCTGAGCAACCCGCATGCTGGATCCCTCGGGCAGCCTGCTGCAGCTCAGCTTTTCCTGGCCTTTTTTGGAAGCTGGCCCACACTTACCTGGCACTCGGTTTGCTCAGAGGAGCTGCCTCAGCCTTCTTCTCCGGCGGGTGAGGGATTAGGACATGCTGCTGTTTCATGTCCACTGGCACCATCTGCAGAGACTTTTTCCATTCCACAAGTGCCATGGAGGATGTGCTCTCTGTCTGCAGCCCCTGCATTTCCTTCTGCGTCTTCTGCTACAGGGGAAGCAGAAACAAGGAACGTTTTTAGATGGGGGTGCTAACGTGGGAGCTGTCCCATGGCAGTGGGGCAGTCGTCCCCTCAGGGTTTCCGCAGGCTCAGGGCAGTTTCCCTGCAGCCTGCTTTCTCTCAGAAAGGCAGCATGAAAGGGTAACACCCTCAGCCTCTGAAACTAAGGGCAAGAACACTTTCACTGCAGTGGGCTTTGCAGGAGCCCTTGTCCTTCTCAGAGGAAAACAAGGCTCAGAAAGTGCACGTTTTTCTCTTGGAGAGAAGCTTCCTTGCAGAGCTAAGAGGGGAAGAGTGTGCACATGGCCCCCTGAGAGAAGAGAAAGGTTCCTTCTCGAGTGCTTGAAAGCACTTGTCATACCATGGGCCCGTGTCTCAAGCAGCATTTTTCCTACAGGGCACAAGGGCATGCAGTTATTAAAGAAATGTCAAATCTCCATGATGGCAACCCGTGAAACAACCCGGCAATGGGCACACAGATGCAGTGGCTACCTGTCCTCCTCTCCGTTGACCCTCACAGGCAGGGGCTTGAGTTTGGGGCCAGGCCACAGCACAGAGCTTGCCCTTCCCCTCTTCTGCCATTCTTGAGGAGCTTT